TGAAACCTCCTTGCAAGTTAGGACTGCTGAGGTTTTTTTTTTTTAATTTTTAAAAAGATTTATTTTGAGGGTGCACACCTTTATTCCCAGTTCTCAGGAAGCAGAGGCAGGTGGATCTCTATGAGTCTGCGGCCAGCCTGGTCTACAGAGTGAGTTCTAGGGCAGTCAGAGATACATAACAGAGAGACTGTCTTAGTCACTGGGCTGCTGCGGTGAAGAGACACGGTACTGGCTAGTTTAATGTCCACTTAACACATGCTGGAGTCAACAGAGAGGAGGGAGCCTCAGTTGAGAAAATGCCCCGGAATTGAGGCTGTAGCCAAGCCTGTAGGGCATTTTCTTAGTTAGTGATTGATGGGAGAGGGTCCAGCCCCTTGCAGGTGGGGTCACCCTGCGCTAGTGGTTCTGGATTCTGTGAGAAAGCAGGCTGAGCAAGCTATGAGGAGCAAGCCAGTAAGCAGCACCCCTCCATGGCCTCTGCATCAGCTGCTACCTCCAGGTTCCTGTCCTGCTTGAGTTCCTGTCCTGGCCTCCTTCAGTGATGAAATGATGTGGAAGTGTCAGCCAAGCGAACCCTTTTTTCCCCATGTTGCTTTGGTCATGGTGTTTCGCCACAGCAACAATAGCCCTGACTAAGGCAACTCAGAACAGAAGGCATCTAACTGGGGTCTTGCGGAGAGTTTCAGATGGTCAGTCCATTATCGTCTTGGCGGGGAGAAGGGTGGCCTGCATGACAAACATGGTGCTGGGGAAGAGTTGAGAACATTCTTATCTGCAGGCAGATAGAGAGGAAGAGAGAATGGGCCTGGAATTGGCTTTTACACCTCAAAGACACCCCCCCCCAAGTGACACACTTCCTCCAACAAGGTCACACTTCCTGATCCTTCTAATCCTTTGAAAGAATTCCACTCCCTGGTGACTAAGCAGTCAGATAGTCAATGAACCAATGCAGGCCACTCTCTTTCAAACCACTATAGAGACCCTGTCTCAAAAACAAAACAAAAATAACACTAAAGGTTTGTTTTCATGTTACCAGTGTTTTGCTTGCATGTGTGTATGTGCACCATGTACATGTGTCCCCATGGGGGCCAGGAGAGGGCGTCAGATCTCCTAGGATGCGAATGGAAGGATTGTGAGCTAGAGATCAAATCTGTGTCCTCTGTGGAAACAGTCAGTGCTCTCAACTGCTGAGACGTCTCTCTAGCCCCTTCGGCATTCTTTATTTTTAAATTTCATTTTCTCACTTTTGCCTGAGTGTATGTCTGGTATAGCATGTACAGGCAATGCCTTTGGAGGCAAGAAGGTGCTGGGTCCACTGACACCAGAGTCACAGATGGTTGTGAGCTGCCATGTGGATGCTGGGAACCAAACCTGGCTGTTTGTTGTCCTGGTTAGTGTTCTTAACCTCTGCCCCCACCTTCTCCATTCTTTTAAAAAGCTTATTATTTTGATGATTTGAGATACAGTTCATGTATCTGAGGCTGGTATCGAACCCCAGTATTCCTACGTCATCTTCTGAGCCCTGGGATTACAGGTATGTGTGGTCAAGCCCTGGAAAAAGCCAAGGTATTTTGCAGTTTTTAAGATAGAGCTGTTGCAATATATTTTGCAGTAATCACGAGTGCCACCTTGTGGGCATAAGGCTACATAGCCTTGCTGTAACCAGGAAGAACTTTTCCAAGGGTCTGTGGTGGATGAAATGGAGGGGTCTGGCTCCTGCCCTCTGGTGGTTCCTAAGATGGGAAGGAAAACCTTGCAGAGTGAGACAGGAGACTGTCTTCACCTTTACTTTGTGTTAGATACAGAGCTGATACATCCCACTGTAACTGACCCTAGGCAGTCTTTGGGGGATGACTTCATTTCTTGCCACCACCCCCTCTTCTTACTTGGGGACAATGAGGGATCGACTGCCTTCTCCTCATAGGCTCTACTTGTCTTTTATTTTAATTTAATTTATTTTTTTTGTCAGCTAGTAGGTAGTCAGGTCCCAGAGTCACTACATTGAGAACAATTTCAATTCATTAAGGTCTACAGCAGGGCAGATGCAGGGTCTCCCCCTTCTTCCCCTAGTATTGTGTTTTCTGTTTTGTTTCAAAGCACTGTTTTTGTTGTTTATTTGGTTTTTGTTTGGTTTGGTTTGGTTTTTCAAGATAGGATTTCTCTGTGTAGCCCTGGCTTTCCTGGATCTCGCTCTATAGACCAGACTGGCCTTGAACTCAGAGACATCCACCTGCCTCTGCCTCCCTTGAGTGTTGGGATTAAAGCCATGCACTACCACTGCTGACTTTGTTTTTGGGTTTTTTGTTTGTTTTTAAGTCAAGGTGTACATCCCACACTGACCTTGAACAGCTGAGGATGACCTTAAAACTTCTGATCCTCCTGCCTTTACCTCCTGAAAGCTAGGTCTGCAGGTGCACTGTGCTGTGATGGTGACCTGGGGCCATCTGTGCCATCCAAGATGCTCTTTTCATCTCAGGGTCCTGGACTCAATCCTACCTACAAAGTTTCTTTGGCTATGGGAGGTGGCACATGCACAGGGGCTAGGGATAGGACATGACCATCTTGGGGGCATGCTAGCTTCACACTGTCTAAACCTGGTCCATGTCTCCCTCTGCCTCTGACCTCATGGTCCCCTTTGACACCCTCCTGATGGATTTATGCTCCCAGAACCCACTGGGTATTTCCCTGACTATTGGCTCCCCAGTCACCTGTTGAAGCCTGTGAGGCTCTCGATGTTTGGCTCCTGCTGCATTGCAAAGGTCCTTTCTGTACAGCAGGCTTACCTGTCCCAGAGGGCCTGCTACTGTGAGCAATTGGTCACATCCCAGTGGCTAGGTGCCTGGCACCTGGGTGCATGCTGAGTAGACAGTGGCTGGGCTGACAGGTGTCTTTCTGGGCTGGGAGGTGGAGAACAGATAAGTCCAGCGAGGTCAAACAGTGGTGGGGGCACTGGGGATGCAGACAGCAGCTGAGGGGTCACAGGATGAATGCTGCTCGTAGGCATGAAGATCTGAGTGTGGCAGGCGGAAGCTGGGCAAGCAAAAGCGGAGGAGTACGAGGCACTGGCAGTCGTGAGCTTGACGGTTATGGAGGGAGGAAGAGGGCAGCCCTGGCTGAAATTAGAAATTTGGTGACAGGTGAATTTGAACAAAAGGTCTTGTGAACCACAGCGGGAAGCCTTGAGAGTCTTTCGGGGAGTGGTGTCATGATGACATCTTCCTTTAGGGTGGCTATGGCCAGTGGGCAGGCACAGAGCAAGGATGGCAGCAAGCCGGGCATAAGGCTGCTGTGGTCCAGGTGGGCTGAGCACTGGAATGTGTGAGGGTGGTGGTCAGGATGTGAGGATGTGGGGAGAGACCTCCTTTCCTACCGCTTTCATTTCTGGCTCTGATACCTTGAGCTGTCATCCTTGTCCTGTATATCAGGCATTTTCTGTGCAGAATTCTCCTTCCAGGGCTCGGCGCAGCAGATGGATGTACGTGCTGGGTCCCCCACTTCAGAGTGCAGTGGACTCCCTGGGCCGAGCTGAGTCTTAGCTGCCGTTCTCAGAGGTTCCTATCCATGGGCAGACCTCACAGGTCCTCTAGAAACAAGGCTGCCCACTGAGGCTCCCAGACTGGACATTAACCTGTCACCCCAGCACTTGGGAGCTGGAGGCAGGATTGAAAGTCTGAGGCCAGGACTGGAGAGATGGCTCAGCGGTTAAGAGCACTGGCTGCTCTTCCAGAGGTCCCGAGTTCAATTCCCAGCAACCACATGGTGGCTCACAACCATCCGTGATGAGATCTGCTGCCCTCTTCTGGCCGGCAGGCACACATGCAGGCAGAATGCAAAGCCTGATGAACTGAGTTCAGTCCCCAGCACCTACACCGTGGAAGGAGAGAACCACAACACTTTGTCCTCTGACCTTCACCTGTATGCTGCGGTGCATGATGTAGCAACATCTAGTCCGCAACATCTAGTCCCTAAAATCCAAACCCACAGAGCATTCTCTTCCCTGAAAATGACTTCCGGCCAAGCCACCGAGTCAGATCACAGTTTGCTGTCAAGAGTGCCCATGTCCCAGTTCTATGTCCCTGGGGAAGTTACCCTCACTGAACCCTGAATATGGCCCTGGCTTCTTCTTATGAAAGATCTGGAAAGGTGCTTGGCCCATGACATAGAAAGTAGCATGTTTGGATGAACTCTCAAACCTAGACATCCAGTTGGTCTTTATAACCCATCTGGCTTCTTGCTAGTGGCCTCTGGACCCCATCTCCTCTCTATCTCTACCGTCCCCTCTTCCCCCTCAGCTATCATCCATGGCCACACCTCCATCCCCACTGCCTCCCCCCGTTTATTCATGTCAGGTGGGGATTGGATGCGGAAGGAGGGTGCTGAGGGCAGGGACTGTGCAGCCTCCTATAGGGCCTGACACATGGCCATGTGCCACAGACCTATGCTGCCTGGAGGACCCAAGAGCTGTCTTGGCTACCCCATGATGGCTCCTGTTGTGGCTGGGCCCACTGACTCAGGCAGTTTTCACAGGAGCTTGTTGGAGGGTGGGGCGCAAGTAAATTTAAGACATCTCAAGCAGGTCCAGGACTCAGCTCTTGGTTCCCAAGGACTGGCATTAAGTTGGCAGTGGAAGGCTGAGAACAGAAACCACTCGGAGCACAAGACGGGCTGGCTTCTGGTGGTCATGTGACTTCAGTCCACTAGGGGGAGCCAGTTGCCCATCTCTTTTTCTTCTTTGCGCCCCCCTTCCCTCTCCCCTCCCCCTCCCTCTCAGCTTTCTTTTTCTTTCTATACCCCAGGCTGGCCTTGAACTCACTGTGTAGACCAGGCTGTGTGGGTGTTATGCTTGATGTGCACCGTGTGTGCAATGCCTTGTGGAGGCCAGAAGAGGGCGTCAGATCCCTTGGAACCGGAGTTAAGCAGGCATGGGCTGACATGTGAGTTCTGCACCAGCGTCCTGTGCCAGAGCAGCAATGATCCTAACTTCTCTGTTACCTCTCCAGCCTCTGGTGTCATTTTTCCAGCTACAATTTCAAACAGCAAAGCTTCTGTTACTGTGGGCTTGGGAGGAGTCCTCTGTGCCGCTCGGATGGTGGAGTTCTCTGGAAGCGGCTGCATGTCAGTGGGGACATCACTGCTGGGAATCCTGAAGCTTCACTGCACTCTGCCTCTGCCGTGTTTGTCCCCAGCACCAGAAAAGGCCGGGTGGGACTGACAGAAACCTATTCCACCCTCCTGGCCAAAAGACCAGTTGGCATCTACTTCTGTGTGTCAAGTGCTACTACACTGGCCGGTAGGATGGACTGCAGGAGGTAAGGAGGTCAGCTTTTCCACTCTAGTCCTGGGGGGCTAGCCCCAGCTCCCTGTTCCCAGCATCCCTGCTCCCAGCATCTCTGCTCTGCTCCCAGCTCCCCTGTTGGGACCCCCCTCCCCCTTCTCCCAGGCTCCTTTCAATCAGGCCCCTGCTCTCAAACCTTCTGTTCTGCTCCCAGCCCCTCAGCACCTCCTCAAGCCCCCCCCCCCCTCCCCCCCCCCCCCCCCCCCCGCCTTCGTAGATGACTGGCCGCTGTGTCACCCCCCAACCCCAGGTGCTGCTCCTGGCAGACTCAAGCTCACCGCTCCCAGGCTCCGCCCCCTCCCTGTGAACTACAACCCCATTGGTTGAGCTTTTTACCGGGCTCCGCCTCTGAATTGACTTTCCCCAATTGGTGCTCACGACCGTTCGTCAGCGCTGTTGCTAGGGAATGGGTTGGGCGACCCGGGCAACCCTGGCGCCTAGGACACACCGGAAGGAGCTCGGTCCCCGTGAGCCGAGGCTGGTGAGCCGGAGATTGGGAGCTCTGGGGGAAGCTAGGTGTAGCTCAAGGAAGGAAGACCTGCGGGGCGGCCTCAGCAAGTCCCCAGGGAGCCTTCCCTCGGTCAGAGCTACTGTAGGAGAAACAGCGCCTGGGAATGGTGAAGCTGGGCGTGCCCAGGAGGCTGTGGGCCTGCCTTATTTTCCAAGAAAACCCAGGAGTTCCTTCAGAGCCGAGCTCAAATCCCAGTTAGGGAGAGGCGAGGGAGGTGCCCCGGTTTACATTCTTGCGGGAGGCTGGGCTGGAAGGAGCGTGGCCAGCCGCAGAGGCCCCAGTGGTCTCCAGGATTCAAACATGGACTTGATGTGGCTGCTCAGATGGGGTGGTGGACATTGACCCCAGGAACTACAGGGCCATGATCTCTTGGAGGCCTTATGGGAGGAGCCCCGAGTCACATCCCGGCCTGCCACCAGGAGCCTGGGGCTGCAGAGAAGCCATCCCGTGCTTTAGGGCAAATTCGAGGAGTCCCCTTCTAGTATTGTGAGCCCATCAGTGTCTGTTTTTGGCCACCGGAAAGCAGGACCAGATACTCTGGATGGCTTCATTCAGTCTGATGCCTTAATTTTAAATGATTCATCTGAGATTATTAAAGCATAGCAGGGCACACTCCGTTTCAGGCCCTGGAGTAGTGACGTGGTGATGGGATTTCACAACCGGGAAGAGGCTGGGCTCCTCTGGGGGAATGGATCACCTGGTTGGGGGAGGAGAAAAGACCTGATTAGCTAATAAGGACGGTGGAGTATGGAGGATGGGCTGTTGCTGAGATTGGATTGTTTAAGGAAGTGCACCGGTGGGCTTAGGGAACTTAAACTCTGGGCAGGCAAAGGCTTGCCCCGTGATTGTCCCCAGGTGAGAAAGCGGTCATGTGCACCTTGTTATGGAACAAGTGTTCGGTGGGTCACCTTTGCTCAGTTTGTGCCTGCAGAGCTCTGGCCCTGTGTGGAGGATGGCCGGGACTATGATTATGGGTGACCTTCAGGGGACCCCCCTGTTTGGTCCCTGCCCTACGTTCTCATCCAGCCATAGCCGGATGCTTTGTGGCGGTGAGGAGGTCTGTGCCCTGTAAGATGTTCTCTGCCCAGTGGATGTGAGCAGTACCCCCCTGCCCCCACGCCCCACCACGGACCTTAATTTTTTTTTTAATATAAGAAAAATGGCTCTGACCCTCGTCAAATGTCCCTTCTGGGATACAAGGCTCATACTCACTGCTACAGTTGACCTTACAGTAACTGAGCGCCTTCACCCACGAAGGGTGGATAAAAGTTGGCAGGGGAAGGCTGTCCCATGTACCCAGGTGTTCCCATAGAGGTCCTGGACACTAGACAGAACCTACCTCTGACTGCATTGCTACCTGGACACACCAAAGACCTTTCTCCTGGAAGCTGACAGATTTCTGGCCACATGACAATGCTTGTAGCTGGGGGTGGGGACAGCGTGGAGCCTGAGAACCATTCTTGCCTCAGTTGTGGGAGGAGACAGGCTGCCTTTTAGCTGTAGTAGCTGGGGCGGTACAGGGCATAGAGCTGTAGTCTCAAGATCCCTCCCCAGTCTTCCTGAGCTGTGGGCTTTAGACCTGCCTTTCCCCTGCAGGCTGCACCCCCTTACCATGCAGCCGCCCTCCCCCTCCCCCTTCGCCACAGAGCAGCTGCTCTGGCTCTGTCCTGGCATCTGGCCCTATCCCATGCTGCCCCTGGTTTGTTTTCTGTTCAAACCTGGCTTGTTTTCTGTTCAAGACTGGGTGCTTAGCAATTACTTTCTCCATAAGTTGGGTCCCCACTGTGGCTTCTTGCTGTCAGGCCGTGGATATGTAGGTGATGTCACTGAGCAGGGGCAGGCCATGCACAGTGGGACAAGTGGTATTGACCGGGGGGGGGTGCCTGTAGGTCACGGTGGGCTTGAGGAGGGTACAGGGAGAAAGTGGCAAGGTTTTTGGTGGCTTGGTGAATCCACACGTGCGCCTTTTGGTAAGCAGAGAACCCGAGAATGCTTGTGTAGCCACAGGTGATGTCCTGGTTAGGTGTGCTCAGCCTTATGCACCTAACGAGTTTTCTGTGTGTCAGCTGATAGTCACAAGGGACAGGGCTGCAGCAGAGGCATTGTTCAGCCTTCCTGTGCAGGGCAAGAACAGGCACCATGCGCATCTGCACATGAGCCGGTGTTGGCCTCTCCCCATCTCCATGACCACCAACCATTTCCTCCTTCCTAGTTACGCTCCAGCCCTCTGTATTCTCTTGCTTCTCAGTTGGAAATTAAAGACACCGAGCCACTGAACTGTCCCTTCCCTTAGAGTCCTCCCCACACCACTCAGGACAGCTTGGAGTCCATTCTGTGCCCTCCCTACAACCCTGGTCTGCAGTTCTGACCCCAGGCCTGGGCCTGTATTGGCATTTTTCATTGTCATTGTCCCAACCCTGACTTAGGTCACTTCACAGCTGTCCCCACGTGGTTCCCCATAGGCGGATGGCTTCAGTGAACTGCAGAAGCAATGTCCCTTTCCCTGTACTTCCAAGCCTGAGTGACTGGCATAGCTGTCGCCTGGACATCCGAAGTCCACCCTTCTAGCTGTTTTGAAGCACACTCTTCTTTACTGTCCCCCTCCTGAGCACAGGACTCCCGTACCTTCCCCTCAACAATGTGACATTGCGTCTGGGGAATCAACCAGGAAGACTGACAACCTGACTGAGCGCCATATGGCTGAGTTGCTGCTTAGAGTTGCAGTCCCAGGGGTCTGCTCCGTGTGACCGCACAGGCTGTGCCCCTGGAGGGATGGGGTTCAGCTGTGCTGCTCTCTGGTTAGGAGGTGAGGCCGGCCTTGTGCTCTTGGATGTGGGGTGCAGCTGGGTCTCTTTAGATCGATTGTTGTGTCTGTGTGGGTTGGGCTGAGTGAGCCCCTTTCCAGCCCGCTTCTGTGGGTAGTGCTCTGGTGAGCCCTCTGGCGGGACACGTCTTCTGGGGATACTTGGTAACATGCAAGCTGTCAAGAGCAGGGTCCCCCACTCCCCCTAAAAAAAGACAGCAAAGAACAAATGTGGGCAAGGAAGTGGAACCTTGTGCTGGGCTGGTGGGAGTGTAATTGGAGAACAAGATGGCAGCTCCTCCGAACATCAAGAGTCCCACTGTGCTGTGTCTGAGGCTTGAAGCCTGTGGGCGGAGTACAGAAACCTGCTGAGAGGGACCCGAGTCCATGGAATTACTGCCTGTAATAGACCCACAGTGGAAGCAGCCAGGTGCCTGCCAGTTGGTGACTGGCGACCAAAATGTGGTATGTCCACACTGTGGCATATTATTCAGCTATGAAAAGGAGCGAGGTATTTGATACGTTACTATGTAGCCAGTTCTGGCTGCAAGCTCATGGGTACCACCACTGGTGCTTCAGTCTCCTGAATGTTAGGATTATGGGCTGTGCCACTACGCCAGGGCCAAGTAGTGTGGTTTTAAATGAAGAGTTCGGGCTGCTTCAGCTGACTCGAGGGATCAGGAGGGGGCCTTTGTGCTTCGCTTGTGGCAGCTGCTAATTTCTACCCCATCAGACCAGAATGCCCATCGGAAGGACTTTAGCTGTGTTTTGCAGTGAGTGGGTCGCTCGCTACCGTGGGTTTTCAGTATTTCGGTGACCTCATATTGTAACTCTCTCTCTTCCCGGTCTGCAGAGAGCTCCGGACACCAGGCAAGATGGGAAATGCCAAGAGCCTGTCGAGCCAGAATATGGGCTCCAAGTTCCTGCCTGAGGAGCAGGCTGAGGTGGATAGGCTGTTTGGTGTCCTGTCATCTAATAAAGGTGGCTCGGCAGCGAGGACGTTCTCTCTGGAGGCGCTAAAGGCAAGAGCGACCGCGTGGTGGGGGATTTGGGGTCTACAGGTGCGCTAAGCACTAACAAGCTGGTTTTGGTGACTGGCCCCTGGTTTTGACATTGTATACTCCATGACTGTGTCACAGCTCTGTCCTTGTAGGGTAGAAAGCAGCCATGGGCCATGGATGAACAACACCCCCACTCTGTTTTTTGGTGTATAGCCATAGCTTGTCTAGCCTGGAATTCACTGTATAGCTCAGGCTGGCCTTGAACTGACAGTAGCTCTCTCCCCTCAGCCCTCCGAGCGCTGGTGCAAAAATGCATTGTCTTCTATGTGCTAAATCAAGGACCTGGTGCCAGGCCTGGCTGTGTGTGCTTGTAGTCCACACCCTCAGGAGGCTGACGGGAGGATTGCTGAGCCTACATAGTGAGGCCTTGACTCAGAAAACAGGAAGAAGGGTCAGAGGGAAGGTGGAAGCAAGGGGAGAGGGAACTTGGAACGGACTGTGACCTGACAGCATTCAGGCTATTTATAACTTGGCGTGACATCAGGAGGAGGAGCAGCTGCCTCCTCCGGGTGGCGGTCTAGAGCCATGCTTGATGCCCCAGCTGTCAGTGGCCTCTAGAAGGTGTTCTTGATACCAGGGAGTTTTGTGGCACTTCCCGCTCAGTACCAGAGTCTCAAAGAAGTGAGAACTGGCCATGTCCTCAGGGCGACTGCCCTGCTCCTCAGAACGTGGACATAAGCAAGCATCAGCTTACTCCCAGAGACTGGGCATAGGTGTAGTCTACGAAGCCATTCTAAAACTTCATCTTCTAGGGCAGCGGTTCTCAACCTGTGGGTCATGACCCCTTTGAGGGGTCACCTAAGACCATCAAGAAACACAGACATTTGCATTATTATTCATAACAGTTTTGAAGTAGCAAAGAGAATAATTTTATGTTTGGGGGTTACCACAACCAGAACTGTATTAAAGGGTTGCAGCATTAGGAAGGCTGAGAACCAATGCTCCACAGAGCACATAGAAGGCAGCAGATAGGGGCTCCGAGGATTCACTGCCGCATTCAGCCAACCAGCTGCTCCAGGCTTTGTGGGAGCCCCACATGCGGTATATGTGCATATGTGTGCACGTGCATGGGAATGTGTGGCTGACTGAGGTGCAGCCGAACATGCATGCAGCTGGAGCAGAGAGATCAGTCACTTATTGAGGTACACGGTGACAAGTTGCTGTGAGGCTTGCTGGCTCTTCTTTGGGGGGGCAGTCGTGGCTTCTGTGCCTCAGCACTTTGAGGACCACCCTCTCCACGTGTGAGGGATGAGCCTGCCAGCAATGACAGCATTTGGTAGGGACAGGCTAGGGGTGCCCTGAGCTGTTGGGGGGATCCAGCCCTGACCCCGCTCTGCAGGACACCTTGGTGGGAAACACTCCCTCTCCACTTTTTTGTAACCTCTGGGTCTAAACAGATTTGACGGTTCCAGCCATTTGCAGAATGTTAAGGTCTTAAGAGCCGGTTGGTCTAATGGCCGGTGCTGTAGCTCAGTGGGAGGGTGTTACCTGGCGTGGATGAGGCTCTGGGTGCCCTCTGCCGCACTGCAAAAGAGAATAAAGAGGGGGCTAGAGAGGTGGCTCAGAGGTTAAGAGCACTGACTGCTCTTCCAGAGGTCCTGAGTTCAATTCCCGGCAACCACTTGGTGGCTCACAACCATGGAGATCTGGTGTCCCCTACTGTCCTATAGGATATATGTAGGCAGAATACTGTATACATAATAAATAAAATCTAAAAAAAGAAAAAAAGAAAAGAAAAAAAGAGAATAGAGGGACAAGTAGTTTGAGGCCTGGCAGGAGTAAGAGCTAGCTAATGGCAGAGACCACACTAGCTCTCCACAGGCGTGGCCCACACATTCATGAGCTCAGACAGGTCCTGCAGCCACAAGAATCGATGAAGATGGGGCCCTAAGCAGAGTGAGGAGCAGAGGCATGAAGGACAAGTCTGGCCAGGGAGGACTGGAGGGGGAGGGGCAGGCAACGGACCAGACAGGAAGTATCTGATGGACATGATGAACTGGAGTGCTTTGGCTTTTTCCTTTTTATTTAATCAACAAATTAATTAGTTTTCTGAGGTAGGGTTTCTCTGTCATGGAACTCACTATGTAGACCAGGCTGGCCTTGAACTCAGAGATCTGCCAGCCTCTGCCTCCTAAGCGCTGGGACTAAAGACGTGCGCTGCCACCACCACCTGGCTTTTTTGCCCTCTCACTACTAGAGATCAAACCCCGGGCCTTCCACAGGGCGGTGAGCTCTCTCCCACTGAGCTCCACCCCAGCCTGAGCTGGTACACTTTGGGAGGAGCCTCTGGTTGGGGAGATGGTACTGTGGGGTTATTGGAAGGTTATGCAGCCACAGGCGGCGTCTGTGGGGAGCTGTGGTTGGGCTTGTCCTCAGCTTGTTTTCCCATGAACCCTGCCTTAGAGCTCTTCTGTCTGTCCCCAACAGAGCCACGTCAAGGAGGCTCTTCCTCCGGTGATGGTCACCAGGCTGTATAACGGCATGTGGAGGGTCAAGGCGACCCACAAGGCACAAGAGGGCAGCAGGAATGTCTCCCGGGAGCAGTTCACAGTGTTCCTGTTCCACCTGTTGAAAGGCAGCTTCGAGGAGAAGGGCCACATGGTTATGAAAATGATCGTCACTGCAGAGGGTCCTGTGAAGGCCAGAGACGTCCAGAAGGTAGACACTTGGTGTGCTGGCGGGGTACTTGGAATGGGGCTTAGGTAATGATGGCATCGTGATGCTGGCCAGCCTCCCCTGAGTCCATACAACAGCTTGGTTGATTCGGAGCTCTTGAACTAGTTTTGGCAAACTTTCAGGTGAACTAAGTGTGTTATTTGGAGAATGAACACCGGGGCCTGGAGAGATGGCTCAGTGTCTTAAGAGTACTGGCTTTCATTCCCAGCAACCACATGGTGCCTCACAACCATCTGTAACGAGATCTGATGCCCTTTTCTGGCCTGCAGGCATTCATGCAGACAGAGCACTCATACGTAAAATATATACATAGATAAAATTTAAAGAAAAAGAATGATAGCCAGGCCTGGGGGCATAGGCCTGACATCCCAGCTACTCAAGAGGGTCAGAGGCCAGCCTAGGCACCTTGGTAAGACCCTGTGTTGGAATTTAACAGAAAGGGGAAGAGGATTAGGGTGTATTATCGCTTGGTAGGATTTTCACATAACATCCGCAAAGCCCATGGTTCCGTCCCCAGCAGCTCATACAGCAGGTATAGTGGCCCACATCTGTAATCCCACCACTTGGCAGGTAGAGGCAGGAGGATCAGGAGTTCAAGGTCATCCTCAGGTACATAGTAAGTTTGAGGTCAGTCTTGGCTACATGAAACCCTCTCTTTCTCTCAGTTTTGGGGCCAGTTTGGGCTACGTAAGATGCTAAGAAAAGAAGAAAAAGAATACACGAATAGCTACCTGAAGTAGGGGCGTGTTCAAGCTGTGGTCCACTGTGGTTGGTACTGAAAAGATAAACATTGCCATCTTCACAGCCATGCACTGGGAGTGGGTCGGGGATGGCTTGGCTCTAACGGCGAAGTATCTCCCAGTTCACAGAGGAGCTGGTGACCTCTGTGGTGCACGTGCTGACCCACCGGCATGAACTTCGAGGCTGGACTGGGAGGAAATCCACAGTGTCCGCCACCAGTGTGCAGGCCATGGCTGCCCAACTGCTCTCAGAGATGAAGTTTCAAGGCAAGTGTCGGACTGTCCTCTGATTCAGACCTTGGCATGGTGGGGTTGCCACAGTCGCTGGTACTGTAGCCTCCCAGGGAAGATCTGCTGTGGTGTGTGCCAGTCTCCCTTGCTCTGTGATTGCTATGGGATGTCCTTGTGCAGAAGCCATTATGACGTCACACTTCCTCCTCTGGTTTTAGTGCCTGAAATCTGTCTTTCTTGGTCAGTCTAGTAGAAAGGGTCTCAATATTTTTGTTTTGATTTAAAAAAATTGTGTGTGTGTGTGTGTGTGCGCACGCGCGCACACGCACAGGCAGGTGCCTGTGAAGAGGTCAACAGATCTGAATTGGAGTTACAGGCAGGTGCTTCCATCTTATTTTTTGAGACAGTCTCTCACTGAATCTGGGGCCCGTCAGTTGGCTACGCGACTGGTCCAGAAATCCTCCTGTCTCTGTCTCTGCTCACCATTGCTGAGGTTAGATGCAGCCAGGGATCTGAACTCACGTTTTCAGGTTTGCTTGACAGGTACTTGACCAACCAAGCCATCTCCTTAGCCCCCGTTGTTTCTTAAGGTTTAAATGACTAACCCGAGGTCTCCCCGCTTCAGTAGAGGTGTTCGTCACTGCTATTTGGCTCCTTAGCTGCACCCAGAGGTTGCCATGTGCTGCTTTAGTTGGCATTCAGCTCAGTGTCCTTTCAATTTACCATACATTTAATTTTATTTATGTGTGCCTGTATGTGCACATGCATGTGGGTGTCTACAGAGACCAGAAGAGGGCGTCAGATCTTCTGGAGCTGGAGTTATAGGCACTTGAGAGCCACCAGATGTGGGTGTTGGAAATCCAACATTACCACAGGGTGTGGTGGTGCATGCCTTTAGCTCCGGCATTTGGGAGGCAGAGGCAGGCGGATCTCTGCACAAGGCCAGCCTGGTCTATAAAGCAAGATCCAGGACAGCTAGAGCTGTTACACAGAGAAACCCTGTCTCAAAAAGCCAAAAATAAATAAATAAAACAAAATTATACAAAGTAACAGAGACATGAGTTTTGCTAATATATCCAAAGTATGCTTATAATCCATCAGTGTGAATATTGCAGTATTTTACAGTAAGTTTTCATTCCGGGTGTTTGAAATTGGGAGTGCTCATTAGACTTACGGCATGCCTCAGCTCAGGGGAGCCACCGCCCCAGTTCACAGTCACATGTGACTGGTTCTTAAATCGGTTATGGCAGGCTTGGATGGTTGCTGTAAGGTGACACAGTGGGCTCACTGTTGCTGTCCCTTTCCATAGATGGCCACAAGTTTCGGGGGCCTCAGTGCCTGGACCAGGTCTGCGACCAAACCGTGATTGAGGACTGGGTGTTCCATGTCCCTCACGTGGGCCTGTTTCTGAGTGTGGTCATCCATCGGGGCCTTCGCCTCCTGAACTCATCCCTGGACCTTTCCACGCTGGTCCCCGAGCGCCACGTGGATCAGGGGCAGCCGTTTGAGAGCATCCTGGACGTGCTGCCGGTCATCTACCTCAACTCCCACCTGGCCGTAGAGCAGCAGCACCGCTGGCGCCTGCTCTTCTCCACACAGCTCCACGGACAGAGCTTTTCCCAGCTGTGCAGCCACATCACACACCAGGGGCCCTGCCTGGTTGTCCTCGAGGACAGGGATGGCTATGTCTTCGGTGGCTTTGCCTCCCGTTCTTGGGAGGTCAAGCCTCAGTTTCAAGGTAAGACTTCCAAGACCGTAGTAGGGGCTATGCTGGCCAGCACTGTCACCTCGACACAGCCTAGAATCCCTGGGTGGAGAGTCTAAGACGCTATCCAGAGCGGGTTGTTGATTGACGTGGGAAGACTCGCCTACTGTTGCTGGTCCTAAACTGTACACACGTAAAGAAAGCAGGCCGAGAGAGTGGACATTGTCGATGTAGTCTTTTCCCTCTGCTGTGACTGTGGTTCTGGTGTGCCTAGCTGCCTGAGTTCTTGCCTCAACTTCCCCAAAATGGTGGACCATTACCTAGAATTATGAGCCCAGTAGTCCCCTTTCCCTGTGTTGCTTATGGTCCAGGTCTTAGCACAGCAACAGACAGGAAGCTAGGACACTTTTTTTTAATATATAATTTCTTTTACTGATTTTTATTGAGCTCTACATTTTTCTCTGTTCCCCTCTCTGCCTCTCTCCTCCCCCCTTCAGCCCTCCCCCAAAGTCCCCATGCTCCCAATTTATTCAGGCGATCTTGTCTTTTTCTACTTCCCATGTAGATTAGATCTATGTAAGTCTCTCTTAGTGTAGGACACTTATTTTTGTTGCTTGACCAACTACCTGACAAGAGCAGCCAGAGATGGGGAGGCTGTGTCACAGTTTGCAAGGGTACAGTTCATCATGGTGGACCGGGCAGGGTGGCAGGAGCAGGTGACGGCTGCTCGTCTACATCTGGTGGGTTAAGAAGTAGTGAGGTTGGAGAGACGGCTCAGAGGTTAGAGCACCGTCCCCAAGTCCAAGTGCCCAGGTGTTGCCAGGTTGGCAGGTGGGTCCGTCTGGAAACAGCTGCCTCGGGCTCTGCAGCATGTGCTGTTGGCCATGTTGTCTAGGGCAGGGCAGCACTACCCTCTCCAGAGGCTCCAGGGCAGGCTGCACTCCCCCCTCACTGTGCCCTGCAGGCTCAGCTCCTCGCAGATGAACCCCACTTCCTCCAGAGCCTTTGCACTGACCTCAGGCAGCGCTGCAGGTCTCCGATCCTGGAGCCTTCGGAGCCTTCAGCTTCTCCATCTGGGTCTCTAGACATCCGTAAGACTTGTTTTGTGTGGTGTCTGGGACCTGCCCTCTGCTTACCAAGATTGCACTCCACACCACTCCTAAGTATGCATAAGCTCTTCGTTGCTGCATTCTGGCATGCGACCTGCCGGCGTTTGTAGTTCTTTGTGTCTGGCTCAGAGGCAGTGACTCGTGCCTTGGCTCTCTCACTTCCAGGGGACAATAAATGCTTCCTGTTCTCCATCACGCCCAGCATGGCCACGTACATGTACACGGGCTACAATGACCACTTCATGTACTTGAATCACGGACAGCAGACCATGCCCAATGGACTGGTAAGCAGATGGGAAGGGGGTGTCCTGCCAGTCATGGGGGAGTGCTTTCTGTGTGTCTGTCCCTCCTGCTGAGAGCCCAGCCCAGGGCACATCTTCCTTACCTTTGTTGGGCTTTCCTCTGTTGTGTGTAAACAGCCTGGCCCTTTCACTGGACCCCAAATGATTGGCCTGGGTCCCGAGAGGGTGTTGGGAGCAGACACATTACAAGGCCCTGCCATCCTACCTCACCCCTGTGTGTGCTGAGCCTGCACACCAAGGCTGTGTGCCAAGTTTAGTGGAGGTGGGAGACGCCTGAGCTGAGGGCTCTGGACGCTGGGTCTGGTCATTAGTAACTTACAAGACAGAAAGCAGGCTCTGCGTGTGTGGTCATGTTCTTACATGTTGATAGCTGGAGGAAGGAAAAGAGGGGAGAGAGTGGGGAAGGAAAGGGAAGGGATGGGGGAGAGGAGAAGAGAATGGAGGAGAGGGGAGAGGAGAGGAAGCTGGAGGCCAGGTCAGCAGTGGATGTGTGGAGGTACAGTGAGACAAACACCCACAAGGATGCCTGGCATGGGTGAGAGCCACCCAGCCTGTTGACCTTTTTCATTTCTCTTGATGAGTCTTCTGGGAAGGCCCAGTTCTGTACTTGCTGAGCTGAGCGCCAAGGAGATGTTCCCCTCTGCCAGCTAGAGAGGCTCAGGGGTTCAGTTCCAGGCTGATCCCAGAGCAAGTGGGAGGGACGTGGGCCAGGTCCCCAGGACACCAGAGTTTAGGCACCGTACCCCTGTCAGCGTGAGCCTAGCTGTCAGCTCCAGGAGTAGCCCCAACACCCGCAGGAACCACTCGCCTTTGGCCTGGGGACCAAAAGCGACTTCTAGTCGTAAGCTCAGATCTCTACACGTCCAAGATGGAAGCAGGTCATAGCTTGTCCTTCAGGCCCACTAGGAACAGGAAGGTTGGCGGAGGTGGCGTCAGGACAAAGCTGTCGAGGAGGCAGGGTAACAGCTGGCTTGATCTGACAGTACCTGTGTGGTGGGAAGAAAGGGTTTGAGTTGCCACTTCTAGCCTGCCAACTTTCCCAAGGGAGAGTCATGGGGTCAGGGTGCAGATGGGACACCCAGGGAGTCTGCAGATTGCCTAGTCTACTGTCCCCTGTGTGTAGCCTCACCCACCAGAGAGCTGTGGCGTGTGGTCTGTTGGTACCCATGACCACTTAGTAACTTGGAACGTGTTTACAATCACAGCCCCAGGAAACAAAGCTGCCCCTTGCATTCCTCCTTCCCTCGTGTCTCAGGCTGGCCAGGATCTCCTGGTTCTCTGGAGTGATCGATCAAACATGGCTGCCGACAGTGTCTTCTGTCTCCACTTGCTCCACAGGGCATGGGCGGGCAGCACAATTACTTTGGGCTTTGGGTGGATGCTGACTTTGGGAAAGGACACAGCAAAGCTAAGCCCACATGTACCACCTACAACAGCCCACAGTTGTCTGCTCAGGAGGACTTCCAATTTGATAAGATGGAGGTGTGGGGGCTCGGCGATCTCTCAGAGACATGTCTGGTGAGTTCTGCGTGGCCGTGACCTCATGTAGAGCCATGGCGTTCTGCTTGTTCTTACTCTGCCTGCCTTTCCTCCTGGGGAAGCTTGTCTTTACCAGTGATGGGCCATGCCTGGATACATGCAGCAAAATAGAGTATGGGTTTGCCTTGGAAGCGGGGACCTACCTAAGGTGTGCACCTGAGCCAGCTACGTGGCTCTTTGCCTTCCCTACCCGTCTCCAAGAACACTTGGTTTCTGCATCCCAGTGATGCAATTGCATCCCAGCCAGGGAGGTGTCAGGATACCCACGCCACTTGGCCTCTTCGTGGCTCTATTCTGATGAGCTGACCGCTGGGGGGGAGTGTCACTGTATATCTCAGATTGGGGGGCTGTTATCACCCCGTATGCTTCTGCATACGCTCACTCCCCTTCTTCCCAAGGTCAAGAACAAGAAGAGCATCCTTGACTCGGATCCTGCAGCCCAGTCCCTGCTGGAGATCAGTGGACGGACTCGCCACAGTGAGGGACTGCGGGAAGTCCCTGAAGACAATGACTGAGGCTCCTGAACTGTGGGCTTCCTGGAGCAAGGGCGGGGACTCCCCCAGGGATACAGTGCACAGGGCATCCAGATTTCTCACTGCCGGGAAGACAAAACCCTACAGGCCCTCTGCCCTGACTCTGGCTTAGCTTTAACACCAGCCACATCGCCACATCCAGGCCATCATGGATATACTTAATGGAACACAGCCACGCCAAAAGAAACCCCTCTGAAGCCATAATCGATGGGTGTTGCCTCCCAGGATCCCTATGCATAAGTTAGAACGTTGGCCTTATACTTTGTTCATTTCGTGTCGATGGAATCCAAGACAAAGAGGCTTGAAACCTGCCAGAACTGGTGATTGGTAGGGGCGTGTATTCTTGCCTCAGGAGGCGGCTGCATGCGTGGCCTTTGCTCTGGGTCTCAGTGGGCACCCTGATGACTCATCGTGAGTGGAAAGACAGAGGTGCTTAGAAGAACATCTTGGTACTTTGTAAGAACACTCTCAGTGCCACCATGGAACTTCTGGGTTTGTAGCGAAAGCTCTGGGGGCAGGACTCCTCAGAGCAGGTTTGGGATGGGGGTTCCCATCTACATTTCTCAACACTTTTTTTTTTAAATGAATCAGATGAGCAAATGGGCAAACTAGACCTATCTGCCCAGAGACCAAGTCATTACTCTGCTGCTAACTAAAATTTGAGGGCATTTGGAGGGAGCCAGAGTCTGGGTGCTTGCTTAATGGATGCCCGAGATCCATCCCTTAAGTCAGTGGTGGGTGATGTCCAGCCTTGGCTTGGAGTGGCAGCTTCTAGGTGCCTTCTCTGGGGTCACAGCTCAAGGCTCCTCAGAAGGATGGTGAGTGAGGGGACAGTGTAGACGTACTTGAGGAAGACTCCAGCGATCCCGGAAGACTGAAGAGGACGCAGGTGCTCAGGCTGCCCGTCACACTGTAAGTCATTCTTCTCTGAGACCTCTACCTCTTCCCTTTGCCTTGTGCTGCAAACCTCGACTTTACAGATCTCCTGTACCGTTTGCCTCAATTAAAAGCCATAATAAAGCCGGCATTTTTCCAGTTCCGCTTTTTTTTTTTTTTTTTTGCCCAGGAATCTCCTGGAATACTCCATGTAACATCTTGAGCACAGCAGAAGGTCTGAGGCATGTACCTTCCAAACAAAAGTGCTATTTCTGTGTGTAGGGGGGTAGGTGTGTGGTGCAGACAAGGCCTGGGCCATTTTGGTTTTCTTGCTAAGACGCCAGTTGCCAGTGGTATGTGGGATAGAGAGAAAATACTGGAGTCTTTGGGCTACCCCATTGTAACCTCACAGGATTAGGCCACTGTGCTATGGAGTGGTTTTATTTGTAAAGATTTATTTATTTATTATGTATACAACATTCTGCCTCCATGTGTGCCCACATTCCAGAAGAGGGCACCAGATCTCATTACAGATGGTTGTGAGCCACCATGTGAGTACTGGGAATTGAACTCAGGACCTCTGGAAGAGCAGCCAGTGCTCTTAACCACTGAGCCATCTCTCCAGCCCTGGAGGTTTTTTTTTTTTTAAATAAAAATATAGAAACATAGTCCTGTCTCTCGTTGGTTGCAGACCTGTGGTGCCCATGGCTTGGTGTGACCCATTGGGAGGTCATGACACCACGGCCCTTATGCTTTCTGATCTCGGTGCTGACAAGAGCTCAAACCACAGATGGGATCCTGCTTCTCAAAACAGCACCCTAAAGACAGGAGGGCCTGACAGTCCTCTCAGGGTACCGGTGACAGGCTCTGCTTCTCCACACACGCCTGTAACAAACCTCTCAGGGCACGAATGTGTGTGGGGTGTCAGCCGGGCTCCAAGGAACTTCTCATTGCTTCTCATTGCTTCCGAATGAGGAGTGCAGTCTTTGGTGAAACTGGAGCAAGCATTCAGCTGTGAGCGCCCAAGACCTCCTGGGAGCCCAATCCAAGCCCAGAAAGTGCTAGAAGGAAGAGGTAAGAAACATGGGCCAGCTGCAAGCGTGGGTGTTGTTAGAATGTGTGCTTGAGCAAGGTGCTGGAAGGATGGAGATGGGAAAGGACAGCTCTGGGAAGGCATGCCCTGTTCTCCCTTGGGTTCCTCCGGAGGCCACCCTCTGCACACTGGACACAGCTGCGTTTGGACATGATATGTTTTCCAGTGGGGGTCACTCAGGGTTTCTGCATCTCCTTTCCTGCTGTTTCTTTCCGCTGTGCAGAGGCTCCACACTGTTAGGCAGGCCAGCATCTTTACTGGATCCTTCTTGTTGCCATAGCAACCATCACACGTCTGGCATTGTGTCTGGAGGATAAACTGAGTGACTAGTTGGTTTAAAAGATGCCTTTGCCCCCTTTCATTCCTTTTAGTAATGCTGTGGGATGCAACCCAAGACTTGGAGCATGCTAGGCAAGCACGCATTGCTGTGCCATGTCCCCAGCCCTTGGCTTTTGGATGCAGGGTCTCCTGTGTAGTCTAGGCTAGCCTTGGAGTCACAATTCCCCCTACTTGTGCCCCACCATGCCTGGCTGAGGTATGACAGAACTCTGGACCTCGTTTTACTCCTGTAACATACTGAGTGCCTACTCATCAACAAGCCACAGTGGACAGCTTTATTGTTTGTTTGTTCATTCATTCGTTCTCTCTCTCTCTCTCTCTCTCTCTCTCTCTCTCTCTCCCTCCCTCCCTCCCTCCCTCCCTCCCTCCCTTCCCCTCTCTCTCTCTCCCTCTCTCTCTCTCTTTCGGTTCCTTGAGACAAGGTTTCTCTGTGTAACAGCCCTAGATGTCCTGAGACTAGCTCTTGTAGACCAGTCTGGCCTCAAACTCTCAAAGATCGTCCTGCCTTTGCCTCCCGATTGCTGGGATTAAAGGTGTGTGCCACCACTGCCCAGCCTCTAGTGTCTTCTTAAAATTTTTTATTGGTTTGAAATCAGTTATTTGAGTATGGCGGTCAGAGGACAATTTGAGGAGTTGGTCCTTGCCTCCTACCATGACAATGAGGGTCTTATGTCTGCTGCCTTGCTGTACACTCCAGGCCAGCTGGCTGTGAGATCCTGGGAGGTTGTCCTGTCCCTGCTGCACGTCCTACTTAGAGTCGTTGGGGTCACAGTTGTGCACTCCTGTTAGGTGGGTTCCAGGGGTTGAAGCCTGGTTATCAGGTTTTCTTGGCTCCACTTTACCCCTAGCCATCTCCTCAGCTCCCATACCCCTTGTGTTTTATGCCTTTCCTCTACTTAAGCTACTTGCTTTAAATTTTTTTATTTCTATATTATATGTAAATAGGCATTTTGTCTGCATGTATGTCTGCACACCAGAAGAGGGCATCAGATATCACGGGACTATAGTGATAGACAGTTGTGGGCTGTACGTAGGTGCTGGGACTTGACCTCAGGACCTCTGGAAGAACAGCCAGTGCTCTTAACCACTGAACCATCTCTCTAGCCCCTTAAGCTATTTTCTAATCAACTGACATTCTGTGTGAATTCAGGCATCTTCCTCATGTTGTAATATTGGAGTTTTAGGGGTGGGTGGTGGTGGCACATGCCTTTAATCTTAGCACTCAGGAGGCAGAAGCAGGTGGATCTCGGTGAGTTCGAGACCAGCCTGATTTACAGAGTGAGTTCCAGGACAGCCAAAGCTACACAGAGAAATCCTGTCTCCCCCCCCACCAAAAATACAGAACGAATGAATGGATGAATTAAAAGTTGAGTTTTGCAGGAGAAGGTTCAGCAAGAGTTCTTTCCCCTCCTGTATCTTGGAATGGTCTCATGCAAAGGCCAAGAAACCAGCTCCCAGCCCCTACCCAGGGTCCCTCAGAGAAATGCTTCTTAAGAGTGGGGATTGGAAGATTTCTATAATAACTTCACACAGTGTCTGAGGGTCATTTTCTTTATTTTTTTTATTTAGTTCTGATTCTCTTGCCCTAGATGTCTACAATTTCTTAGCTCTAGCATTCTTTATTCTTCTGCATATTTATTCTTACTCCCTACATTCCACATATTCTTCCAGTCTTTACTCTTCTGCTGTTAACACATTCCCAAGCATGTATGTGTTATCCATTTGTTAGCAACTCGTTATTAATTAAAAAAAGAAACTACAAGCATACAGGCATTATCACCTAGTTTGCAGCCAACGGCAGCTGCAGCTGTGAGGTGGGACCAGCCATCTCTTAAAAGGACAGCAACAAAGGTTACAAAAGGAAGAGACTAAACCAATGAGAGATCAAAGGAAGAGGCAAAGACTACGTGTGCTATTTTACATTTATGTGTGATTAATAATATCTGGACACAGCAGCCTTTCTTATCACTTGAATCTCAGGTCACAAAAACAGTCTACTGAATCTAAAACCTTGCATCATAAACTGGTACAGAGTGTTAATTGTTATTTTGAATCAGAGCAGGGATAGTGAAGGAAGCTTAGGGCAACATAGGTACTATTGATCTCTTGAAGGATTGTGATCTAACAGGCCAGACCCCTGCCAGGTAGCCCTAGTTCGCTGTAATTCCTCTGAAAGGCTTAGATCCTACAAGGCTAGACACCTGCAACTTCATAGGTAAAAGGTTCTACTTGTGACCTGCCCAGAAGGACACACGTTTGGCCAACTTGCTCTGTCAGTAAGGCTGATGATAGAGAACAGGCTTCTAAGTTTCTCACCATAATGAGAACACAGTGTAGAGAGAAGTCATCTTCCTGGCTATCCACAAGCATATGTGCCCATAAGATTGAGATGTAATCATGAGATTACATGTACACATTACAGGAAAATGCATGACCCTGGGGAGAGGTCATGGCTGTTCTAGCAAATGCGAGCAACAGTTTCCAGCATCGATGGTTCTGTGGGCTTTGCTCGGGCAGGATTCTCCTCCATCAGAGGCCCATTTCTCTGGTGGGCGGACATGTGAACACTCACTAGTTATCACCTGCGGTAACTCTCACGGTCTCTGACAGCCTCGTATGTTTGCCCGCTTTTCTCTTCAGTGGTGACTGCTTCTAAAATGCCGGATGGCTGGGGCTGAGCTCAGAGGTAGATTCAAGAGCCTGCTGTGGTCATTAAGCACTGGCTGAGAAAATATTCACTCAACTCTGTAAAAGACAAACACTCACCTCACAGATGCTCAGTGCCTGCCCCTGACAGAAGACTCAACTATAGCCAGAGGCTGGCATGAAATGAGTGAATACAGGAGCTGACATGAGGATACTGTGTGGCATGTACAGGTACAGGCACACATGCCTCTTTGTATGTGTGTAGGTGCACAGGTGCATGTGTGAGATACACCTGTGTGCACATGCACGTATATGTACAGGTGTGATATGTGTGTGATGTATGCCTATGTGCAGGTGCTCATGTGTGTGTGGTATACCTGTGTGCAGGTGCACATGCATATGTGACTTAGGTCTGTGTCAAGTACGTGTGTGTGTGTGAGATGTATGCCTGTATGAAGGAGCACATGTGCCTGGGCTATATGTCTCTGTGCAGGTGCACGTGTGTATGTATGTATCATAAGCTTGTGTGCAGGTGCACATTGTGTGACATAAGCCTATGTGCAGGTGCACTTGTGCATGTGTGATATGTCTGTTAGCATACTTGAATGTACATGTGTGTGAGATTTGTCCCTGATGCTTGCTGAATCCCTTTGTATCATGACCCTCTGCTATGAGTGTCTCAGAATCACCTGTCCAGCATCTTGAGACAGAAGAGGCTTCACCTCTTGAGAGGGGAGTGTGGTGGGACCGGAGAGTCCACACTGCCAGAGAGCGATGCTGCACCGCAGGTCCCAGCTCCCTCTGGCAGCCTCCATAATCATTTTTGTTCATCTGTAGGCTGTCTTGAATGTGCAGGCATTGCTCCTCCAATGGCGTTATTATACATTTGCCTTGATTCCTTCATGGTTTTCAGTGTGGGACTGAGCAGGACCTCATCCATGCCAGGCAGACACTCTAGTACCAAGCCCAACCCATTTTTCTCCGAGGCAGAGGGATCACGAGTCCCACTGAGTTGCCCAAGCTGGCCTTCAGCTGTAATGATCTTGCCTCAGCCTCCCGAGTAGCTGGCATGTCAGTCGTG